ACTTTGGATGGTCATTCAAAACTCTGGAGGAGACCTAAAAAAGAGGACGTCTTGAGGCCTTATATTTGTTGCCCCTGACCTCAATGCCAAATTACAGGTGATCTCCTCTTCAGGCTTATAACACAGCAGCACAAATGGGTCACATTGGCGAATCACACACCCATATAATTTTCTCCTCCACACTTTTGTCAATACACACACAAGTGTCAAGTCTAGCTTTCTCAAATGCAACTGTCTGAGACTTGTAGGAAAACACTACAGGACATTCCGATGGTTCTAAGTCAGCTCTTTGGTCCAGAAGCACAACAGACATTGGAACACAGTGGCTAGGAAACCAAACAGCAATTTGCTGAACAGAGAAAAGTGCCATCCTCTCATTCCCAATTTTTCTATGGCACATTAATTGCCCCACTGTTTTTAACATGCTAGACAATGGTCACGTGAGCCAGCTTCAGTGTTCGTGAATGATCCCTGTGTTTAAAATGTTCTGCCCAGGTGCCTCGGGCACAGGGGCAGCAATTATTTCACTTACCAAGGAGCAGAGTGCCTGGCCGTGATTCCTTCTTGAGAGAGGACAGTTCAGACAGATGCTTTTCTGACCTACTGGGGGGCAGTCTGTCAACTAAGAATTACACATTTGGAAGATAATATTGTAACTACATTGGAGCTACCAGCAGTACTGCTGGCTCTGAGACACTTTACACCAGCTCCAGCTAATCCCTTTAGCTATCACACGAACTTCTGACTTGGGCTTACCCTCAGTTCGAAAACACCAGAGTATTGCCTTTTACAAAGTGGTGGCAGATATCTTGTCATGCCACAGACTTTCATCAGGCGAGTGGTGACTCAATCTGGAAGTGGAAGAGATGCTGTGGCAACCCTGGGTGCACCAGCAGCGGAAGACGCGAGCCAAGCCCCGGGTGAGGACCTCTCCCCCTCCACCAATATTATTAACTCGTCGTTATCTCTAGGTCACGTCCTGAGCACGAAAAACATTCAAGCTGGTGGTTATTAAGCCTCTTATTAAGAAACTACAACTAGATCCTAGTGAACTGGAAAATTACAGACCCATTTCAAATCTTCCGTTTATGTCTAAAATTTTAGAAAAAGTTGTATCTGCGCAATTGTGCTCCTTCCTGCAAAAGAATGATCTCTATGAAGAATTTCAGTCAGGTTTCAGGCCCCACCATAACAAAGACACTGCACTTGTTAAAATTACAAATGACTTGCTTCTTGTGTCCGACCAAGGCTGCATCTCATTGTTAGTTTTACTTGACCTTAGTGCTGCGTTCGACACTATAGATCATGACATACTCATAGATCGATTACAAAACTAACAGGTATTCAAGGGCAGGCTTTAAGATGGTTTAGATCCTTCCTTTCCGATCGCTATCACTTTGTCTATTTAAACGGGTAATCATCTCAATGAAATCCAGTAAAGTATGGAGTGCCACAAGGATCTGTCCTAGGCCCTCTGCTATTTTCAATATACATGTTGCCCCTTGGTAATATTATTAGAAAATACGGGATTAATTTCCATTGTTATGCTGATGATACTCAACTATATATTTTGACCAGATGAAACTTTTAAATTATCTAAGCTAACAGAGTGTTAAAAATGTAAAAGATTCTTCTATTAAATTCGGATAAGACTGAGATACTACTTATTAGGCCACAAAACAGTACACAGAATCTCGTAGATTACAATTTGCATCTAGACAGATATACTGTTACTTCCTCTACAGTTAAAAATGTGGGTGTTATATTAGACCGTCTTTTGAAAATCATATTTCCCATGTTACAAAAACCGCATTCTTTCGTCTTAGAAACATTGCAAAGTTATGGAACATGTTACCTGTTTCTGATGCAGAAAAGCTAGTTCATGCATTCATGACCTCTAGACTAGCACTGCTAGGTGGTTGTCCTGCATCTTCAATAAACAAGCTACAGGTAGTCCAAAATGCAGCTGCTAGAGTACTTACCAGGTCAAGAAAATATGATCATATCACCCCAGTTTTACAGTCTCTGCACTGGATACCTATTAAGTTTCATATCAGTTACAAAATATTGCTACTTACTTTAATGGCCCTAAATGGGTTAGCTCCTGCGTACCTAACTTGTCTTCTATCAAGCTACAATCCATTCCACTCCCTAATGTTGCTAAACTCTAGACTCTTGGTAGTTCCTAGGATAGCAAAGTCAACTAAAGGAGGTAGAGCTTTATCACATTTGGCTCCCAAACTCTGGAATAGCCTTCCTGATAATGTTCGGTGTTCAGACACACTCTCTCTGTTTAAATCTAGATTAAAGACACATCTCTTTAGCCAAGCATTCAAATAATGCATCTCATAATCTTGTACTTCAGTTACATCTGATCAAATGCTAATTTTCATTCGTTTGCTTGGGTTGAACACATCATGTTTTGCTTAGTTGGAACAGCAGCTATGCTAATTTCTCTCTAGTACCTTCTCTGTTTCTGCCATGGGATTGGCATCATGTGCTAACTAGGAGTTACACAAGCTTCAGTCTGGATCCAGCCCTTACAAAGACCTAAGATGACTGAACACCTGAGAAGAGATGATGCCAACCCCCCAGAGGACCTCAGATGATGCCAACCCTCAGACAACACACAAAACTACCAAATGTTGCTATAAGTTTGATCACAACATATAGTCATTGCTGTTAATAGTGTTCACCGTCTGTTTGATTACATGACATTAACTAACTGCTTGATTTTTACCGTACATTTCTGCCATATGGACATCAACTTGAGATAGTCACCTCTGATAAGCTATTACTAAATATAATGTATAAACTTTAATTTTCTGAAAAGCTGCTTTGCAACAATTTGCATCATGAAAAGTGCTATACAAATAAAGGTCGCTGCTAGCACCACCGAATTGTGCTGGGAGGTAGTTTTTTTAGTTTCCAGTGCTATAAAAGCTCCTCAAGGGGGATCCTTGGAGCCTACTTGAATCCAAACAACATCCAATCTCCATATCTGTGTTAAGCCTTTGAGGGGCCAAAACCACATTTGAGAGCCTATGATCAAGATGTGCAGAATAATACATTAAATTCTAGGGCACCCTCCACCAGGAGCATTTACACCTATCCGTGGAAGCTCTATTCTAATTAGTGCAGTGAGAGAGCAGTTTCCCCAGAACACTGCCCTGTACCCCTTGTCTTATGTTTCATGAAATCTCTCCTAGAAAGAAAGAGGGCAGCCTCACCCCAGGGGTCTCCAACCCTGCTCCTAGAGAGCTTACCTTCTGCAGACTTCAGTTCCAACCCTGCTCCAACACACCTTTCTGTAGTGTGTTTACTAGTAATCCTGAGGACAGAAAGTTTTAAGTCTTTCGTGTCACTTATTATATGATATAAATCTGTAAAGGCTGATTTATTCTTCTGCATCGAACCTACATTGTAGCTACGCCATAGACTGTGCGTAGTATGCGCAGGCTACGGTGTAGCCTGACATGCACCTCTCCAAAAATGTCACAGCGTGTCAATTCTACGCGGACTGCAAGTGCTGTGATTGGTCTGCTAGTACCCCTCCCTCCTTAGGTATTTGAGATTTGTGTGTGTTTTTTGCACTTTGATATGTTACACCTCCTTATTTAAAATAAAACAAAGAAAAGAACAAATGTCTTATCATTTATAATAAAACATAGCATTATACATCACTTTGTTGTTGGTGACAAACAACGTTGTTCTGCCACGGTACAAGTCGAAAGAATGCCATCTTCTCCAGTTCCGTTGTCGTCTCTTTTTTGTAGTTTTAAATAAATGATCTGTTCTTTGATATTTATTTGCCACTGTCACGGCTGATGCTTCTACGGCAAGCTGCTTCTTCTTTGGCTTTTGCCATACGACAGCGGGTTACACCAGCAACATTCCCGTGAACATGGCAGACTAGCGGTTTGCATGTGTATTGCACGTAGACGCGGACAACGATGCAGAAGTATAAATGATAACCAACGCACAGCCTATGGTGTACATCGTGACACATCGTGACTTCCTAAATATAGGTCTAGTAAATTCAAATGGTGTTGCTGATATTACAAAGTGAGTATATTTATCTCTTAGACATGGCTTTATATATATAAATATATTTTTAAATGCTTGTTTTTAGCATCAAGTAAAAAAAAAAGGAAGGCCTTTGATGAAATATAGTTTGTTGAAAATTTAATTTTAGTACTGGTGCACTCCTCGTATAAATTCATATTTTAACAACATTACTTTAAAAGTAATAACTATAGAACTACAGCAACAATGTTTGTGTAGCTTCAGCATGCCTACATCACCTTAATACTACATTTGTTAATTCACTTTAACTATGCATTAAATGATAGCCCCAATTGGATTAAATAGTCCATTGAGGAATTTAGAGATTCTCATGCTCAAGCCCTTCATCATGGACCTCAAAAAGACACATTTACCTTTATCTCACTTTGGTGGGTGTTAAAGTGAATATCATATGAAAGTGTGAACTATTGTTTGGCCGTCTTCTTTTAGAACCATTTAGGCAATAAATCTTCTGTAAACATTGCATGTATTCACAGACAAGACATTGCTTCCTCTCAGGTGACTTTCATCTTGCATCTTGCAATTCACTCCTCACGCTGAAGTCTCACAATGTTGGACTGTCATTGAATAAATACAAATGTTTTTTACAATTACATTGACATTTATTTAGTCATTTAGCAGACACTTTTATCCAAAGCGACTTACAAATGAGGACAATAGAAGCAATCAAAAACAATAAAGGACAAATGATGTGTAAGTGCTGTGACAACTCTTGGTTAGCCTAATGCAGTACATGTAGCAATTTTTAAAAAAAAGTTTTTATATTAAATAAAAAGAAAACAAGTAGATAGATCGATGGTCATTTAAACCAAAAAAAAGAATAGATATAGAATAGAGTGCAAGCGAGGGTCAAGTGTTTTTTTAATAAAAAGAAAACAATTAGATAAAATAGAATTAGAATAGAGAGTGCTAGAGTTAGAGGGTCAAATGAAGATGGAAGAGATGTGTTTTTACACACTAAATGTTGTAGTATTTGATTAGTTTTAATTTTGTTACTGCAGTCCATATCCATGAGTAATGATTCTTAGCTGGGTTACCCCAATAAGAAAATACTGAAAAATATTTGTAAATATATACATCTATTATACATCTTTCAATAGTGCTTACAATGGTAAATACAACATTACAATTTATGTGCATTTATAAGATTTATAGTCAAAGCAAATATCACCTGAGAGACTGAGGGCCAACATGAATGTTGGAAGCTGCTCAGTGTTGGTGTTTTAGGACTTTTTCCTAAAACATTGAAATATTGTTTTAGGACTATGTTGTTTTAGGACTGTTTCCCTTATAATGGTTACAATAAGGTTTAAATTAAGTCCACGTCTTATATATATGTGCACTGCATAGTCCAGTGTATTTAAGCCTATACATTAATGCAGTATTATAATGGATAGAAGAAAATGAATTAAATAATATAAATGAGACAGAGATAAGATGTAATATTGTTTGTCAGCCTATGTCATATTTTCCTCTATAAAGCTGACAAAATTAGAAACATGAGTGTACACGGTGTAAAGCTCTGGGTTGCAGTTTAAAGAATCATGTCCAAAACTGACCAACCCTAAAAGTTTCCACTCCTGTGAGCCCTGTCCATGTGGAGGTGTCAGACTGGAGCCTGAGGAGACTGGAGGCAAAATAAGAATCCCTCCAGTGTCAGCAGGGCAAATGTTTGACTGTTCCGCGCCAGAACCCTGTCGCCCACACAGCATGTTTTCAGAGACACTGATAGGAACACCATAACTGGCATATTGCTGCTCACACTGAACAACATCCCCCAGAATCACGCGGCCCACACGTGCTTTCTCAGCATCTCCAGCCTTCTGGTCAGGTAAGAGGGACCAGCCTGTCACCATTCTTTGTCTGGAATCTTCGACTGTATCACGAGCATCTGGTAGGCAGATTGGTAGCACATATTCTCCAATACGAGCCTTGTCCAAGAGCTTCAATACAGACACATCTGAATCCAGCACCAGGGGATCATAGTTTGGATGTAGAGTGATGGAGGATACCTGACCAATCAGAGGTGAGACGTGGAATGAATAGCAGGATATACAAAAAAACGTTTAAATATGCTGTAGTAGTCAAAACTTGGACACACATTACTCAAATTTATGTTTTCCAGGAACTTAGAAAACCTTTACATGTACATAAATAATTCACATAAAAGTTTAATAGATATTCATATACAGATATTCATTAAATGATCACCTCTTGGGTTTCACAAAAGAAGGTTTTTTTTTTTATGACATGCAGGGGAGTAAATCATGACGGAAGCAGCAATTACATGGCCAAGCACACCAACGCTGCGAAAAAAGAATTGTAAGATCGATTTGGTGAAAAAGCAATGTTTTGGTATTCTCAGAAGATGGTTACAGTGGCACTGTTTGCTGTCAACTTTTACAGAACTTCTTGCTATTATACTCCTTGATCGTTTACTCAAGAACAGTTAATATAGGTATATATTTTAATAATTTTTGTTTTAAAAATGATGTAAATATGCTGCTGGCCCCAATTTGTACAGTATAAAATTCAGCATTTTATGACTAAATTAAAATCCTCTCATAAGGGAACACTGAGGATCATTCTCAGTACTCAACAGGGTGTGCCCCAAGGTATCTAAAAAGACTGGTCTCATTGTGGTTTTAGGCCAAACTATTCAGACGTTAATATATCTAAAGAAAATATCTATTATTCTATGGTTTGACCAGTAGGTGGTGTTTTGTCCAACTGCTCAGGTACTACACTTTTTCCACGTTTTAAAGGGTTACTCCACCCCAAAATGAAAATTTTGTCATTAATCACTTACCCCCATGTCGTTCCAAACCCGTAAAAGCTTTGTTCATCTTCGGAACACAATTTAAGATATTTTGAATGAAAATCGGGAGGCTTGTGACTGTCCCGTTGACTGCCTAGTAAATTACACTGTCAAGGTCCAGAAAAGTATGAAAGACATCATCAGAATAGTCCATCTGCCATCAGTGGTTCAACCGTAACGTTATGAAGTGACGAGGATACTTTTCGTACGCGAAGAAAACAAAAATAACGACTTTATTTAACAATTTTTCTATTCTGTGTCTCTCCGCATCACCGTAGCGCCATTTTGGAGAATATCCACTGGACGCAAGCAGCTTACGCTCTTCTGTGCCAGCCGCGCTGCATGGATGTGCTGTTTTCGTTCAAATCAAAGCATAAATACACGTCAAAAACGTATCCTTGTGTCGCGGCTGACAGAATAGCGTACACTGCTTGTGTCCAGTGGATATTCTCCAAAATGGCGCTACGGTGATGCGGAGAGACAAATTGTTAAATAAAGTCGTTATTTTTGTTTTCTTCGCGTACAAAAAGTATTCTCGTCGCTTCATAACGTTACAGTTGAACCACTGATGGCAGATGGACTATTCTGACAATGTCTTTCATACTTTTCTGGACCTTGACAGTGTAATTTACTTGGCAGTCAATGGGACAGTCACAAGCCTCCTGGTTTTCATCCAAAATATCTTATGATAAGCAGACTTTCGTGTGTGTTCGCCCACTTGTGTTTTCATTTGTTTTGCCATAGTTTTAATTGTAGGTCATTTTTACAAATAATTTAAATTGAACTTTAATAGTTATTTTAATACTTAAAGTTTTAAATGTGCAAAGTAGTAATAATAAAGAATGGGTATGAGTGTCCAAACTTCTGACTATTAGTATTATTTCAAACTGACCCGTAATCGCTGCAGTCCCTTGGTCACTCTCTGATCACTGCGGTACTGTTTGCCTAGCACTACCCTGATTTTGGCCGTGTCAAGTGGATATAATTTCCCCAGCTCTGTGACACAGTGGGCAGCTACAACCACACTTCGCTGGTTCACCAGGGCTCCGCTGCAAACAAGCTGCCAACCATCCATATCACTCTCTTCTTCCATCAGTTCAATGTTTGCTCCCATTGTCTTGGCCACACTTAACTTCCCTAGTTTGCTTGCAACAGGCAAACGGTAGATGGCAGCCAGCCAGGGCCAGTTAGTCTCAGAAGGGTTCTGATGGTCAAAGTTTGTCAGCTTCCCACACACTGCCATAGAGAGGGAGAGAGAGAACAAAAAATTAAGAGAAGAAACAAAAACAATGAATATTTTACAGATTATCGAGTATGACAGTAAAAGTGCACTTTGAGGGCTTGGATTGTTGTGGATCATATAGAGAGTTCTATTTGGTTGTATTACTTCCTCAAGCATTTGCTTGTGCTGACGCTCTGATAAATGTGTATGGATGTGATACTTTCCTTCTGTAACTCTTGACATTTGACAAGAGCATTCGGGCCCACTTTCAGAGGCTCACCCTAAAATACTGGCAGATCACAAGCATTTGGCATATTCACATAAGTGTGTGACTTTGTTTTCTGAAAGACATGTTACTTCTTACAATGAAAAAAAACTTGCTAACTTGATCATTGTCTTACAAACCTCCATGATTTTCCATCACCTAATTAAATGATGAAATTGATCTCTATAATACAGACCTAAAAGGTAAAATACACCTTCTTCATTGTTGTTTGTCTTGTCTGTCATATGTGCCCTCACCAGGCGAACAAGAAACATGACGTCCACTCCACTTTCCCATCTTCAGACAGGTTCTGCGTGCACTTCCAAAGTGCTGGTAGTAAGGTGACATACACTCATACTCAATGTGTGTGTAGACATGATGAAATCCCTGTGGGAGTGGGGGCATGGTAAAAGGGGCCTGGGTGGGCAGCACTTCCCTTAAGAAACTGGTCACTCCAGAGGAAGAATAAAACTTATGCACAGGTGTTTTCCTGAACACACACACACACACACAAGAGACAGAAAAAGGACATCATATTAGACAAACATACAGAATTAATGAAACACAATTTACAGTTCACTGATTTACTTGAAAATTACTTGGAATGAATAGGAGAATTATGGTCACAGTAATTAATTAAATGGTTCAACTTTGCATATATGTTATTGTAACACTCTGTCATCGGGAGTGACATAGTGCAACTGTCTATACCTGGATGGGATATGGGGATGTAGAACTCTCTGTTTGACCAGCACAGATACTTTGGGCTCTCGACAGGCTATAAATAAGAATACAAACAAAACATCTTAGTTTTACATTTATTTTTGAATTTATCTATGTTAAAAATGTTTATGTCAGTACAATATTTATGAAAATAGATTGTCAGATTTCTATTGTTGGTTTAAGTATTCTGTATTAATGTATTGGGTTTCTTTATTACCAGCAGCTATCGCTCTGTAGCACCCGCCTTGTTTCCCATCTACTGTAAACAGAGCTGAAACAGCCGGGAAACCTGAATGAGTGGAGCATGCCAGCTCATTTCATACCCATATGTATGGGGAGTGGCTTGCAAGCAAATTCCTCTAGCCAGTTCTCATTAGCCTTTTTTTTTAAAGCATCAGAGGTGTTTAGGGCTCTCAAGTGCACCCCTAGTGTCACTACATTGAGCATCTTGTTCCCTCCATCAGGGAACGGAGATTACAATAGTAACTGAGATGTTTACTTAGTTTCCAATTAAACTGTGCTTAGCTTCAATGAGCATTGTGCCAATGTAGTGATACTAGGTCCCTATACAAAATGCCACAACCAGCTGAACTGTGT